AGGCAATTGGAGTTTTAACTTCTTTTGCTGTCTGTAGCTGAAAATGCACTTTCTGTTTAAAATATGTATGCTAATGGAGAGTTATCCTTTGCTTTAATCCATTTCAGGTGACATTGAAGATGTGCCGTCTGATAAATTTAAAGCGAAACCTTCTGGGACAGTTTTGCCTTTTGTTGGTGTTGCTTGTCTGGGGGCCATTTTGTTTGGATATCATCTGGGGTATGTTCTTACCTGATTGTTAGTAGCCTTACAGAAGATTTCCATTTATTAGTTTATAATGTTAAAATTTTAAAAGGTAATTGTATATGCCAAAAGTAATTATTTCAACAAATCAAATAAGGTAGTTCAAGAGATCAATACTCGTTGATAATGTATTATCCGTAACATCTCAACTACAATTCAAGTGAAGATGCATATATTCTCACTAGAATTCAAGCAAGAGGATACATGCATCCTCACCTCCTTTGGTTTCCATAGCATAACTGAAGTGGAGATGCATAAACCTTCACTACAACTCAAATAAGAGGGTACATACGCACTCACCTCTATGGATGCTTTAGCACCCACCATCTTAGTTTAGTGTTCACACTGTTATGTGCTCAATATGCCTGAACAATAAAACTCAAAGGTGAGAATGGTTGCACCTCACATAATCAACTTGAAACTCAAGTGACGTGTCTATGGTTTTCAGTTTAACAAACATGAAGATTATGCACCCTCACATCGCATGGTGTATATAGCAAAACAATTTAAGTGGATACATATGTATCTTCAGCTCACCTCAAATATGAACTCACATATGAGGGAACATGAGCCCTGGCTTTACCTACAATTCATGTTACAATGACTTTAAACGGTGACATCAATACCTCATAAAAGGTTAAACAAGAGGGCACGTATACCTTCACCCTCCTTAATCCCTATTTGAGAAATCATCCTAATCTGAGGAATAGACATCCTTGTCTGGTCTAAAATATGAAGTCATCCACATTACAGGATGATCACCCCTACCTTATATGATATAACAAAAGTTAAATTAGAATGAGGGACCTACGCCCTCTCATTTTTGTGCTCAAGAAAACTAGTATGAAGGTGCTCCCACCTTCACTCTCTTTAGTATTTATGAGACCATTATCGTTGTCTGCAATGCTGCAACTGAACATTGAGAGCACCCTTGTAGTCCTGTCATACCTTGACAGGAAATCATAACACAATATGGGGAACATGCTTTCACTCTCATAAAAAACATATAGTCTATTTTATCTCCTGAAGTGTTTATTAATATCTTATAAATCCTCATGTCACATATATTCATATAATGCCTGTGATAAAAGGTATGAAAGTCAAGCTTGTTGTAGAAGATAGTAAAGCATGTTAGACATGTGAAATCTGAAAAGGCACAAGGATGATAAGGCAGTTATGGTAAGAAAATATTACAGGCAATTTTGACAAAAGGTTATGACAACTCCCGCACCTTCTGTGACACCTTGCAACAATTCCCACCTTGCCTCCTTATAAATAGGCATCTTCTATGCCATTCAGGACATGAAAAGACCCAGAGAAATAGTGAGAGAAGTTCAAAAGAAAGAGAGGCTTAAAAGTGCATGAGAGACAACAATAAGGTCCTCTGAACTTTTGCTTTAGAAAAAGGAGAATAGGTTGTCTTAGAAAAAGGAGGATGGCTCCAGAACATAGCTTAGAGAGCTGAGATCTCACCTTCTTCTCCTTCACCTTAAAATTTTGTAATATGTTAGAAAATAATGAATCAATTAAGACTTCTCCACATTTTCTTTTGATATTTGTTTAATTTTGCTTTCTACTAATCAGAGGTTTCTTCAGAAAAGAGTAATTTATAAGAAGAAATGAAATCCAAGAAGCTTTATAATCAAAGTGATGCGTGTGTGTGTGTGATGCGTGCGTGTGTGTGTGTGTACATATATATATCCGTGCTGATCAGCCGACATTTTCTCGACGATTTTCCATTCAACATCATCTACCCTCCTTGAGATTGGTGACACGGCTTGGTCGAGGAGAGATTAGCCTACCCAAATATAATCTCTTGTGATGAATAGTAGCACCAATTTTAATACTTTTTTAAAAATATTCGTCAGACATTCTGATGTCTACTTCTACAGCACACTGGAAGCCTTCTACAATTACATTAATCAGTTTTCGTGTAAAGCTGCAGCTTTACTGAATTGCTTAACAGTAGCCCATAATTTTTTATTTTCAAACTTCTTTTCTGGATGGGATACTTACGGATCTTACTACCACGAGTTTAATGATTTAGCACTTTTGTATTGCAGTGTGGTGAATGGAGCACTGGAGTATCTTGCAAGAGACCTGGGAATCACTGAAAATGCAGTACTGCAAGGTATGTGAATTGATATTTACGAAACTATTCTTTTAACTTCCTACATGTGGAAGATTTTTGTGCTTAAAAAATTAAGTATCTAGGTCTTTAATATATTAGAACCCTCTGGTACGAACTGGTTGGTTTATCATACATTTCCACTGATTTTGTATTGTTGAATGCTAGTTTTTGCATTTTACTGGTAGTAAATTATTTGATCTTATAGATCACAGAGTATTATTATATTATTATTATCATTTATTACCTTGAGGAAACTCCTGCTCATGAGTATTTTCTCCTTTTACTTGACAGGTTGGGTTGTTAGCACGCTTCTTGCGGGTGCTACTGTTGGTTCTTTTACTGGTGGGGCATTGGCTGATAAATTTGGTCGAACCAGAGCTTTCCTGATGGATGTAGTTCCACTGGCAGTTGGTGCATTTCTGAGGTTTTTATCCTGCTATTCATTGTTTCAATTGCTGATGAAAGCTTGAAGCTTTTTAAGTTTATATGTAATTAAAATGCTGGCATGTTTCTCCAGTGCTACTGCTCAGAATGTTCAGACAATGCTGATTGGTCGATTGCTTGCTGGGATTGGAATAGGAATTTCCTCAGCCATTGTGCCCCTTTACATATCAGAGGTGCTAGAATTTGGAAGTTTTGTAAGCATTTATTGTTTTAAATCTGAAGTAGATTCCTGCAGCTATAATATTTTATAATGTTTCAGATATCACCTACTGAGATTCGTGGCGCCCTTGGCTCTGTAAATCAACTTTTTATTTGCATTGGAATCCTGGCAGCTTTAGTTGCTGGGTTGCCTTTGGCTGGAAATCCTTCATGGTATTGTCTTTCTGTACTTCGGTGATATCTCCAAAAGCTCATTCCAACCTTTTTATAGTTTGATACCTGAGGCGAAGGGACAGTGTAGTTCAAGTTGTACATATTCTATCGGTTAGATATATTGCTATATGTAAAAGTTAGCATCATGTTTATGCATGACACGCATGTCATCAGGTCTAGATAATGCTAAGAAGCTTCACTGTCTTTTATGGCTGACTTTGGTCCTTAATTATCATTCTTAACTAATAGCCACAGGCTGTAGTGTTGTTGAAATGCTTGCAATTTGTTTCTATATGATATTGGGCTTGCATCTCATAATATTCCCAGCCAGTACCATATGCTTAGGAATCTAGTTTGATTATCCATCTAATATCTAATTAAGAGGAGTTTATACAAGGAAGGGGATATCATAAAGTAATGGCCAAAATTACATGGCTTCAAAAGAATCCTTCTGACCCTTTCCTGCCAAAATTGTTCACAGTTTGATGACCAATGGCCATAGGCTTTACATAATTGAACCTACAACATGTAAAGCACCTTAAACTAGTTGAACTTATCTACTCTCTGTTTGCCATTTCTCATCATGAAAATCCTAAAATACAGTTCAAGGAAAAAAATAAAAAAAAGATCGTCTTGAGCTTATCTATCAAATGGATATAGATCTGAAGTGCATGAATAAATCCTCAGTTGATTAAATCCTCTCAAACTAACCTTAATTTAGTTTCCTAGTGAATCCCAATCAAAAAGGAACTGGCTTCAACACTCTTCCTTAATGGAAACTAACTATAATTGCATTACATCCTTCCAACCTCAATATGAGAGTGAGACCCCTGAAGATTGATGGTAGTTGAGTAATCATGTGAGGTTGGTTTGGCTTTACCCTGGCCTTGTCATGTTACTTACATACACAGGAAATAAGCAGCTCTGTTTTGGTTCTAGATACCATAGGTGGTTTATTTAGTACCTCATCTGTGTTGAGCTTGACAATATTGACTATTCCGTTCCTTTTGAATGTGCTGTCCTGTTGGCCATGACTGGGTCTAGATACAAACAACCTGATGATTGGCAGTGTAATTTGTCACAAGGTAAAATTCAGGTGTTGAGGTACAAAACACATCTAAATCCAGCTATTTTTGAAGCCCATAAGCTACATATGAAGTCTCGGTGCGAAGTATGCACTCATCTTGTTTTTCTGCACTCATCAATGCTAGTACCTAACATTATTATTCTTAGTAAATAACGTCGAGAGGTATAAGGCTCCAGTATGTGAGTCATGCCATAAGTGATATCTCACATCTACACTGGTTATTGAATTGAGGCTCAATTGAATCGGGGCTCTTTAGTTTATCAGAGAATTGTTAGAGGCGAGTGAAGAATAGTATGGACTGAAAGCTCATGTTTCAACAATCTCAAGAATTGGCTCTTTGGAAAAAGCCTTTAGCTGGACAGCAGATGTTAAAAATAAAGAAGCTACATGCTCCTTAGTGCTCCGCTTCTCTTGCTTGAGCATTGAACAGGAATTTTTACACTATAAATTGACTATGTTTGAGGCTTTAACTGAATTGAGTAATTGTATGAAAAAGAATTCAAATCCTTAATGTAGCATGTTGTCGTAGTTTGGTGTCCAATCACCATTGTTTGATGTCCCATCCACTTTTATAAACATTATTAACAAACTATTGTCAAGTCTTTGTCGTTTGCTGGGGAGCATATAACTATATGATATGAAATTAAAATAACTTTGTGGTTCAATTAATAAGTGTTACTTTTCTTATTTATCAGCCAAGACAACCATCTGCATTATGATGGTTATCATGTTGCACTTCCTGTATACTTATAGATGCCCACTGAAATGAACTTCTGAATTTATCTGTAGCTCACTTAATAAGTGCCTAGCGTTCCTTTCTTTCTGGTGATGAGTCGTATATGTCTCCATTATTCAGGTGGAGGACTATGTTCGGCATTGCCATTGTTCCCTCTGTCCTCTTGGCGCTTGGGATGGCAATTTCTCCAGAAAGTCCTCGTTGGCTCATTCAGGTTAATTTTCTAACAAAAACTGTTCCTTCTGTTCATATTTGTATGATAGTATTGCATTTCACCTTTTCAATGCGACAGTTATTATCTTCTCAGTTCTTAAAATTTTAGTGCAGCAAGGAAAGTTAGCCCAAGCAGAAACAGCAATAAAGACACTTTACGGGAAAGATAGAGTTGTTGAGGTTATGCATGAGCTTAAATCAGGTGGCCAAGGTTCTACAGAACAAGATGCTGGTTGGTTCGATCTTTTCAGTAAGAGATACAGAAGAGGTATGTTGAATGTCCACTTGATTGGTTGTTTGTATGTCTGGTGTCAGTTGAAATATCTTTTTTTTGCCTGAGAGTGATAAAAAGGCACATGTTTCAATATTTGATAATAAGAACCATCTTTCTTTCCCAGATCATGTGCCTTTTGACAATAAGAACCATCCTTCTTTCCCAGATCATGTGCCTTTGTTTTTGGGTTTGTTGGTATTTTTTCCTTTTGTGTGCGTGCGTTTTTTTAGGGGGGGCGGGGGAGCGGGAGGTGGTACCTCCAAACCCATTTGTTTAGCAATTATAAGTGAGCATTTCTCTGGAAAGAAAATGTACAAAGAAAGAAAATAGGAAGAAAAAGAAAACGATGGAGGGATGGATAAAGCACAGACACATGCACAAACTAAACAAATGGAAAAGGGGACAACGCATATTCTTTCTGGTTTTCCAGGTCATTTATATAAACATGGTAATACTTGTGACTAATTTTCCAAACTGCAGTTGTTAGCGTGGGGGCAGCATTATTCCTATTTCAGCAACTAGCTGGTATAAATGCTGTGGTATATTACTCTACATCAGTATTCAGGAGTGCTGGAATTGCTTCTGATGTTGCAGCAAGTGCCCTTGTCGGAGCCTCAAATGTCTTCGGTGGGACTGTCTTCATTTATCTATTCAATTAGTGAAACACGATCCATTTTTCCTTATATCCTCCATGGGTTTCATATCTGACTTGACTTCTTGTCATACAGGTACTTGTGTTGCATCATCTTTAATGGACAGGCAAGGAAGGAAAAGCCTTCTGATCACTAGCTTTACTGGAATGGTACAACCTTTTACTAACCTTTGATGCAGTTCCTCATCGAAATTGCCCTTTCTTGATGCATTAACTTCTATTTTATATCAGTATGGACAAGCTGACGCTGAAAGTAAATCCTACACTTCAAATAAAAAAATTGCATATGATCTGTGTGTGTCCAAAACGTCTGCCATGACTCATATTTATGATAGAAGTTTTTTGCTTCTGTTCCTTGTAACAATGTGTCAAATATTAAAAACTATAAATACAACATTTTTAGTGTTGAAATTTGGCATCCAATCTGAAATAGTGCCTGTATCATCAGCTTTAGCCAAATCTGATCTGTATCAGCCAGGACTTAAGTTTCAATTGGTTTTGAACCCAGCCGAAACTATCCAGATATATAAATTAAAATAAAATAGAATGATACAGCCAAACATGAAAAATTTGAAAAGAGAGGGAAGGGGATAGAGTGGAAGAAAGAAATGTGCACCTACATTAAAAGAGAGGACTCCCTCCTTCATGCAGCAGCTGCTATTGAGTCCTTTTCCTTTTCCAATCTCAACTTTTAGTGTTGACTCTAGAAATTGGCGGCGCAGATCTAATATCATACTCCGCTTTGTTTGACATAGGTTTTATGTTGCCTTTACAGAAGAGACCATTTAGTTTATGCTTTTCTGTAGTATATTTTCTAAAAGAATCCAAACCTGATCTTGTATTGAAAGATTTTTACATCTTAAACATGAATAATGTTAATCATGTCGAAAGATAACCAAGTTCTATCAATTTGAAACATTGATTCAAAATATTTATAAATATGAAAATTGCAATCTTATCAACTATGTGATGCAAGAAAATGGCTTTTGCATCAACATTGATATGGTATGGCGACTGTTATCTAGAGACCAACCTAACATAATGAAAGTTGAAAATTGTGTCTTAGTTTTTTTCTTTTGCAAATAACATAAAAACTGTTGACCATTAACAATTATTACGTTATTGAAAAAAAGTAGTTGTCTACCAACTAAAAACTTTACTAGTAGAAGCAAATAAAAAAATCATTGTACAACAGTATAAACTTGACACAAAGATTTTAAGACAACAATTGTAATAATCAGAAATTAGCAAAAGTAATAACAAAACTTTAAAAAATAAGTTGAAGAACATTAGAGAACAAAAAAATTAAACATTATACGGTTCAGTGTTGATGCATAATTTTAATAAATCCAACATCCATCTCATTGATTTATTGTCTTGCAGATTTTCGCACTCTTCAATTCTAATCTACCTGTATGTCAATGATTAAGGTTTTATTTTTTTTCTTAAGGCTGCTTCAATGCTGCTCCTTTCATTATCCTTCACGTGGAAGGTCCTTGCACCTTACTCAGGAACTCTTGCAGTGGTTGGCACAGTTCTGTAAGTTGAAAAATTCCAGAGCTTAAAGCTGATGTTTCATTATTTGCATAAGTTGTGCTTCATGAACAATATATCTAAATTTTTATTTGCATCTCACAGCTATGTGTTGTCCTTTTCTCTGGGTGCTGGCCCTGTACCAGCCCTTCTGCTTCCTGAGATATTTGCTTCCAGAATCAGAGCCAAGGCAGTTGCGTTATCCCTGGGCATGCACTGGGTAAGCCAATTGAATCCTGTCAAATCCATTTGCTCAGACAATAAATTTAATTGTATGTTAGCCTGTTCATTTGGAATGATTACCTTTTGTTTATTTAAATATGATAGCAGGTAAGTTAATTTTTTTTTACTTTTGTAAATAATGGGAGAACAAAGCATTTGTACGAATGTATGCTTATCAGAAGGTCTGACTCGAGTTGTTGATAGGACATTATGAAGCTTTTGATCATAATGATATCATGGGATAAACTTGTAACTGAATGCCATGGTCTATGATTAAATGTTCTCAGGATCCTCTTAATTGTCTTTTTAGGCATATTAAGAATTTATGTTGTTTGGGTACTTCTATGTGGAGCCATAACCATGTTCATACCCGTACCCAACACTGAGGGACACTCCTTGAATAATTGCATATGTTTATTCAAAATGTGCATTCAATTAATACACGATTCAAGTTAAAACACTCGTCATATTCTTCTTGGATATATATTCTGCACGCCACTTGCAATTCTTGAAACTCCTTATGACATAAATTAGGTTCCTTCAGGCCCATACCCAGTTCAAAACTATGATTAAAAATTGTCTTTTGAATATCAATTCAAAAACAACCAACTTGCAAATTCATGGATCTATATGATAAAAGAAACATATGAATGTTATAGGACTTTTATTTCATAGCACGTGAAAGGAAAATAATGTTGATCTCATGTAAATTATAATTATGCATACATATCTGTCTAGCTGTATCCCCATACCTTAATTTTTAACAAAATTTTCATGTCCCATACTCACACGTACCTGTATGGGTGTAGCTTCGTTAAGAATATAGTAGAAGTTTAAGAGATTTTGTGTGTGAAAACTAAAAATAATATAAATAAGAAGAGAGATATAATAGTTATCTCATTATTTCTCCTCAAAGGAATGGAGATCAAAGCCTAACCTGACTTTTATTCATTTGAAAAAACTTGGATCTTGATCTGGGTCACCCGGTGATGGCCAACAAACCAAATAATGGTTTTTGAGTTAGAATATTCATGAATGTATCTGTATCCACTAAAAGAAAACAAATATGTTATGGCAATGCCTATACCCGATTTACATATGATTTCAATGCACCCTTTCCATACCTAATCATGTGACTTCACGTTGTTGATAATGTTCTCCAACTTTATTGTCTTAAAACTACATAAGCTAGTGTGGCATTTGATTTAACAAAATGAAAACCATGTACTTATATTTTATACGTGTCAAGATGCTTAACCAACCAAGTTTGTTTTGTTATTTTTTCTCAGATATCCAATTTTGTTATTGGCCTCTATTTTTTGAGTGTGGTGACCAAGTTTGGTATCAGCAAAGTTTACTTGGGATTTGCCTCGGTCTGCCTTCTGGGAGTTCTGTACATTGCTGCAAATGTTGTCGAGACAAAGGGCCGGTCCTTGGAAGATATAGAGCGTGAGCTTAATCCCGCAATTTAAGGAGACGAGGGCACTGTTGAAGATTGAGCTTCAGAGTGAGGAGCGCATCCGGGTGATTTTCATTATGGAATTTTCTTGATTTTGTGCTTTTGGGGGAAAGGGTGTAAAGTACTGACTGAAATCAGACTTTAGAGTGCTTCATTCGTGGAGGATTTTTTCCGAATAAAATTACCTCAGTGGTTATCAAGCATGAATAGAGTGAGAGTTCAGAAAAACTTAAGAGCAGAATGAGTATTATACGCAGACAATGTGGAGAAACTGTCTTGTAGAGTTTCAGACCTCTTTTTTTCTATTGACGTTGTAGAATGTAGCTGGAGTTTTGGATGAAGGTTATGCTAACTGGTAGTCATTGAATTACCAAAATGGTAAGAATAAAAGCCATCAGCAATTTATAATCAGTTGAGACTTAAGAGGCATGGTAGTGAAATTGTGAGCCTTTGAATTTGTATTTACTTAAGTCAGTTGACAGGTCTCAATTTGAATTATTCGTGGTTTGGGATACCTTTGAACGCATATGGAGCTGTTTTCATTTTTTAGGACTCTCTCGCATGAGCCAATATTTTCATATAATGTAATTTGATCTCTCAATTGTCAGTTCTACGAGTTGCTCAAAACTAAGGCCCCGTCAATGAAGTTCTCAGAATTTTCGACCTGGACTACTGTGGAGTCAGTGGAGTTTTATTTGGGATTTTTTTAAAATGAACTTTTTTTGCTAAATAATTAGCAAAACCGACTGTTTTGCTAATTATTTAGCAAAAACGACTTCTTTTTGGTCAACAGGTCAAAAAGAGGTCGTTTTTAAAAAACCGCGTATTCGAAACATACGGGACTGCTAGTCCCGTATGTTTAGTCGCCATTAAATGACGACTAATAATCACGCCCAAAATCTACAAGACTACTAGTACTGTAGATTTTTCCCGGCTTCACAAAACATACGGGGTCGCAGTGGGCCTTGTGGAGGTCGAGATCGGGGTGGGAGTTGAACTTGCGGTTGCAATGGGAGCGGTTCTTGAGGACCTGGTCGGCGAAGGACTGACGGCGGTCGAGGGGCCAGAAGGAGGAGGACATGTCGTGAGCGAAGGAGTCGATCTTGTCGTCACGGGAGTCAGATAGGATCCAGACGGAGAGGCGGGCAAGGAGGGAGTGGCTGGGGGAGAAGAAGAGGTCGAGGGGGTCNCAATGTCGAGGCCGAACGCAGAGGTCGAACGAAGAACGCTGAGGTCGACGAACGCAGAGTTGGAGGGGGGGCGAACGCACAGCAAAGGGGGAGGTTCGAACGCAGAGTTCGAGGTCTGCGTTCGCCCGAAGTTTGCGTCTGATCTCCTCAACTCACCTGTTCGAAGTCGCCTGGAGATCGCCAAATCGAGCTCGCCTGCTCGAAAGCTTGCCGGAGCTCTTCGTCGCCGGAGGTGAGTTTGATCTACACCTATTTCAACAATCAACCTACGGGACTAGTAGTCCCGTAGGTTTTGTGGCGTCGTATTAGTCGCTAATTAATGACGACTAAACATACGAGACTGCTAGTCCCGTATGTTTTGAATACACAATTTTTAAAAACGATCTTTTTTTGGCCTGTTGGCAAAAAAGAGATCGTTTTTACTAAATAATTAGCAAAACGGTCAGTTTTGCTAATTATTTAGCAAAAAAACTCTTTTTAAAAAAAATCCCTTTTTTCTTGGGGTATTATAATATATTGTTTACAATAGCATTCTTCTTGGTTTTATTTTTTAAAATTATTTCATGACATCTTCCTCATTAATTTTACAAAATATATCTTTTTAAATGTAAGGTATTAAACAAACATTTGTTTACTCATTTTCCATTCGGTTCGGAAGATCATTTTTAATAAGTTTCATTGCCGAAAATACTCTTTCGACACTTGCTGTTGCAACCGACAAGATTAGGGCTAGCTTCACCAACTTGTACACCCAAGGATATAAAGTATCCATCTTTTATTCAGTCAACTTAGCGAACTCACCTATCTCCTTCGTTTCCCAAGAAGTATGATGAGTAGCTACATAAAAAATGTAGTTCTCCAGTTGATCACTAAGCTCCAAACGATCCATTTCGAAAAAATCTCTAGGATAAAACTCTGCTAATCGAAACAATTTTCCCTTATAAAATAAAGAGAATGAGTTACTTGGTTCAAGACATGCCGCACAAGAAAGCAACAACATATTATAGTTATTTAAATGGTTGTTCAACTATTAAAGATAAAAAATCTATGGATGTATTGAACAATTCAACTTGACATCTTCCTCATCAATTTTGCAAAATATATCCCTTTAAATGTAAGGTCCTAATCAATCATTCGTATACTCCTTTCTCATTAGGTTTTGAAGATTATTTTTAATAAGTTTCATTGCCAAAAATGCTCGTTTGACACTTGCCATCGCAACCGACAAGATTAGTGCTAACTTCACCAACTTGTACAAGGATATAGAATATCCATCTTTTATTCAACTAACTTCTTAGCAAGTGCACCAATCCCTTCAATTTCCAAAAAAATTATGATGAGTAGCTACATAAGAAATGTAGTTCTCAAATTGATCACTAAGCTTCACACGATCCACTTAAGAAAAATCTCTAGGATAAAACTCTGCTAATCGAATCAATTTTCCCTTATGAAATGAAGAGAATGAGTTACTTGGATCAAGACTTGCCACACAAGAAAGTAACTCCATATTACAGTTATCAAAATGGTTGTTCAACTATTAAAGATAAAAATCTATATATGTATTGAACAATTCAACTTGATAATGATGAAGATTTGTAGGCATTTGAACTCTACGCTTTGGTCTACCAACAACAGAACTATCTCCCATATTCGGGATTGCTATCTCATGCATATTCTAAAAATCACAAGTCACTTGCAACAATCAATTCCAAACATCTTCTCACATTTTTTGCAGCCTTTGCTTGACTACTTCAACAAGATTAATAGCATTAGCAAGGTATTGATCTCTTTTTTGTAATGCTTGTGACAAGTCATTTGTAATTCTCAAAATATTTTTCATCAAGTGACACAAAAATACAAACTCAAAGTTAAACAACCAACACAAAATGCATTGCGCTTCATGTCTTTGTGTATCACTACCTCCGTCCACAGAAATGACCTCCACCACATCAATCACCGAGGAAAACAAGATAATCAAACTCATAATTGTGCCATAATGTGAACCCCCACATGCGTCTCCCGGCCATTTACAATTTGTTTCTTGATTCAAACTTCGTACGGTCTTGATTTCACCTCTACAAATACTGTCAATTACATTTTCAAGTTGTTTCTCTCGAAGCCTTGAACAACATTTATTATCCTTGCAATGTGTTTAAAAAACTCATTAAGAGAATCATGTTTTTTTTTTTTTTGCAACCACTACGAGTGTCAATTGAAGTTGATGAGCGAAGCAACAGATATAGTAAGCAAATTCATTCTCTGCTAATATTAATTCCTTAAGACCATTGAACTCTCCTCACATATTGCTACCTTCATCATATCCTTGCACACACATATTTGACTTGCTCAATGCACTTGTGGCAAAAATGGACTCGATTGCTTCTTTTAATGTCACTGCCTTAGTCTCCTTAACATGAACAAGTGCAATAAAACGTTTAAATATGCTCTTCTTTTTATCCACGTAACATAGAACAAGAGTCATTTGTTCTTTAGTTGATACATCACAAGATTTATCAACTAATAATAGCAAACAAACTTTTGTTGTCAAGTAGACACAATCATTTATGTTGTCGTTTTGAATCATTGGTGAAGTCAGTTTGTTGTTGTTGGGAGCATTTGTCAACTTTCACACTCTTTGAACCAATCTTTGCAAAAATGATGATTTTAACCAGAAATATCATGTGCAAGATAGGTTGCTAGTATTGACTGACAAGGACCCTTGAACAAGTACGCTCTTGGAACAACGCAGTAGAAAATTATTTTTTTATGACCAGAAAAGCGTAGTATGGAAAGTGAAAACGTGAATATTTAGGCTTTTGAAATGTTCAATAGGTATGTTAATTAAAAATAATTATGTATGTAAAATTACTCAAATTAGGACTCTTAATTTATAACTAAATTCTAATTTAATACATTCAGTTTTAAATGTTTTATCTTTTCAATATTATATGTACTTTGTAGACAAGTGCAAAAAGAGTTATAAGTTAGTTTTAGCCACACATTTAAGTTTTTTCTGATCTTTTGATAATGAGCTGTTAAATATGTATCCTTTGAAAATATTTACAGCCTTCTCCGCTTGAACCTTTTGAAATATTCAATAAGTAAGCTAATTAAAAATAATTATGTACGTAAAATTGTCAAATAAGTATTGTTTAATTTTTAATGTTTTGATTATGAGATGTTCAATACATATTATTTCAAAAGATCTACAATATTAACAACTTGCAATTATTTTGATAGGCTTAATTAAAGTAACTACATCCCATCAGAATACCACTAGCCCCCAGGTTAAAAAAATAGAGATGAGTCCTGATAGGATATGTACTGAGGCAGTTAAGCTAAAAACTTCTGAATTGCAAAAATAATCAAATGGGACAAAAAAGGACACTTAAATAAAGAGGAATACAATACTTATTAAATAAAAATAAAAAATTAAGGACATGAACATATATCCAATTACGTGAAAATGTCAATGTTAGTTATAAAACTATTTTATGTCTGAGAAAACAACAAGTGATTCTACTAAAAAAAGAATACATGCTAGCTTAAAATATATCACTTAGCATTTTATAGCTTATTAACTTTGACAATACAGGTTATAAATAGATAGAATGTGATATGTCATATTGGAAAAATTCTCATAATTAAGATCCATATTTATTGGTATATGATCTTTCCTTAGTGTCTATTACCCTCATGGGCATCACGTTAAAGGGGAAATTAATAGATTATTAAATTGTATAGGGTATAAAAATTTATAAGATGACAACATAGGATGTCATGAGAATCAAATTCTTTGCATAAAAATTATATATTTTTTCATAGAAGGGTTGCGATCTGCATGTACTATTTATTGTAAGTTATACTGTAAGTTACATTTTTTCATTAAAGGATTTTAACCTTCATTGTCTTAATGTAAATTATACTTTTTATTAACTATATAGGTATATAGAGAATAAATTATTTTACTTCTTCATAAGGAAATAAAAAATATTTCACAACCGAGTTAAGTAAGACAATAGATTAAAAATAAATAACAATGATATTTAACCACGTGCATTGCACGTGCATTCAACCTAGTCAAATAAAATATACTGGAATGGTAACTTTTTACCAAAGATGACTAATGGTCCAACCCTAATTACTTACCCAAAAAAGTAAAAGAATGAGAATACTGTAAGTGAACAAGGGTCATTGCATTTTAAGATCATGTTATATGGATACATGTGATTGTGATTTATGACAAAACAAAAGTCCATTAATGAATTGATCAAGTTTAACCGAGCAGTCTCAACCGGATGAATTGCAAATAGTTTTACGATTAAAAGTTGGAAATCAAAAGCATGCTCCTGGCAAATAGCTCTCACAAGCAACGACAAATGCGACGTTACCCAAGCACAACACAAGCAGTAGAGCCTCCTCACAACACAAATTGTTGATAGAGCAGCTAACAAACAGAGCAGTACACAAGCAATAGAAAAGGAGTTATCACTAGTAGAAAAACGACCAACCTAGACGGAAATTTCCGTCTAGGTTGGTCTACAATCCGTCTAGGTTGGATCATCTAGACGGAAATCCGTCTAGGTAGATTGGTTTATTCTGTTTCCGTCTAGTTTGGATCAAACTAGACGGATTTCCGTCTAGATTGATCAATCTAGACGGAAACCAACCTAGACGGAAGTTACATTTCCGTCTAGGTTGTTAACCTAGACGGAAATCCGTCTAAGTTAACAACCTAGACGGAAAACCGTCTAGGTTAACTAGACGGAAATCCGTCTAAGTTAACAACCTAGACGGAAAACCGTCTAGGTTAACAACCTAGACGGAAAACCGTCTAGGTTATCAACCTAGACGGAAATCCGTCTAGGTTGACCCTAGACGGAATTCCGTCTATACCGAACCAACCTAGACGGAAATCCGTCTAGGTTGATTATTACAACCTAGACGGAATTTCCGTCTAGTTTGGTTCATACTAGACGGACTTCCGTCTAGATTGCTCTTTTTCCAGCAAAAAAAAATATATTACAATTTGTATTTCCCTGTACAATTACACCAATACATGAATACATACAATAAATACTGTATATATGAATACATCCAACCATCCAAATATAATCAAGATTTTAGACAATTCCATTCAAACCCAAAAATATACAAATCCAACATAATGCACAGATCCAGCCATAATATAATCAATTCCAGCATAATAAACAAATCCAACTATCTACTTCAAAATATGCATCAACCATTCCAGCATAATAAACAAATCCAACACGCATATAAGTATTGTTATAACATCCAACACGCATATAAGTATTGTTATAACATCCAACACGCATATAAGTATTGTTATAACAGATAAAGCTGTTCATTGCATTAAAAATCCACAAAAAACCTCATAAACCTCATCGGTCGTCGTCGTCGGCAGTATCTCTATCCTGGTTACGAGAACGTGTGCTGCTCCCTCCAATATCTCCACTCTGAATGGTCAATTGAATAATCATTAAGGGGTGTTTAATACATATTAAATATAAATGAATTTATTATTTTAAGAAAAAAATAAGGTACCTGAGTGCTGCTCTGACCAGCACCGGAATTATCGCCAAGCGAGCTTATAATCCGTATAACACCACCATACGCGCCATGAGGAATCACACCGCTTAAATATTGCATGACATACCCCAGGAGATCATCCATCGAGTTCGCCGTCAGCGCAACTCTTGTCATCTCATTAGTCACCTGGATATGTAGCTCCGAGTCAATCTTGTCAAGCAAATATGCAGAGATACGTGCGACAAATGGCATAGCCTGGAACCGAGGCGGGGCTGCTCTCATGGATGTAAATGGTGTGGAGGATGCTGTGGATGACCTCATGCTTACGCCGGGTGAAGCTCCAACACCATGCAGAGGATATCTCCCTCTCCTATGTTTAGGGAGAAATAAATATTAAATTTACCTCTCGAATTCAATAATGATAAAAAAATATAAATAGGAATGTAGTATTCAAATTGATTCAAATTTTCTACATCCATACCTATTATGACCCATCAAATGCTGTGTGAGAGTAATGTTGTCCTCTGCAGAAAGCATGTGAGGGTCCGGCTCAGATTGTTCCTCCTGCTGCGACATATACACAGTTGCAGCCTCCTTGGATGCAGCCTCAAATCCCTCCTAAAGCACAAATATATAATTAATTCATGGTAAAGACAATGTTATTTGTGTTCTCATTTCCTCATAATATTAACAACAAAATAGAATTAATAATACTACACAAGATATGTATAACTCTCACCACCAACTCGAGATTTGCCTTGATCTTATCTCGATTCTTCTCATCACCCCTATATCTATCACGGAAAATGCCATACGCCGCTTTCGCCCTCAAGTGTATTGGCATTAATGATTTTCCCTGTCATATTATATATTATCACACTCATAATCATACTAATCATTAAATTCATCAAAACTTTAGACGGAAATCTACCGTATCCTGACAATAAACATCCTCCAGATTGGCATAGGAGTGTGAGCCCAAGTGGTGGTCATGCAGCTTCTTTCTTCTATTTTCTGACCCCTTCGTGGATTTATTCTTTTTTAAAAGAAAAAAATTAGCAAATATGCAATAAATTAATATCTTAAAAGTATAAAGTAATTTTCATGAAACTAACCTTGGAGGCATCGCTGTCCCAATACATGAGGAGAGCTGTGAAATGAACCTCGTCAACTCGGGCGTCGAGGTTTAAAAACCTCTGCCAGTCCTCCTCATACCTGTCATAGGTTTCATGTTTGATCTCATGCCTCCATTGTTTGAGAACTACTTCAACCTTAACATTGAACACATAATTCCAAGCCCCCTCAAAGTCCTCAAGGCAGAAGCAGTCCTGTAGATTTACATACACATTTAGGAAAGATAATTTAATATCAAATACTAATTATTAATAAATAAAAAGTAATAGCAATATGTAGTTACCATAAGCGCTGTCCATATCGCCTCGTATGCGCTCCATGGTAGTTCTCGAAATTGAAAATAAGGGTTGATAATGGTCGCTCTACGCACTAGAACCCCAATATATGCATTCAAGCGGGTCGACCATGGACCAACGGGCAAATTAGAACTATTCCACCGAATTATTGCCCTCATTCCTCTTGGCGGTTGTTTGGAATCAGGCTTACCTCCGCCACGTCTGTTCTCGATACGATCCTTCTTAGCACCTACAATAATAACATGATAATATATCATATAATATACAAATGTGAAAATTAAAAGTATTTATACAATTTACCATTCGCTATCTCTCTTTCCTTTGCTGCGAGTGCAACCTTCTTTCGTGTCTCAATCATTTCACGCATTTCTTCTAATTTTCTCGCAGCACGTGTATGGTACTTCCTTGCGTCAGCCATAGACTTATGAGAGGCTGGAGGTAAAGGTAAACTAAGATAGTCCTGTGTCTTTGGCCGCAAGTCCGTGTGGAATGTATAAGATGGATATGTCGGTGTCCAAGTATCCCCTACATAAGAAAGGAGAATCATTAATATAGTTTTTAATTAACCATTATAATTGAGCATTATAATATTGAATACCTGCATCAGGGGATGGTTCTGGTACTGCATCAGAGGGGCCAGGTGATGAATAACCCGCATCTGCAACAAATTAATCACTATTAGCTAGATAATTAATAATTGATAAAATATATTAAAGTATTAATTAATTTTTATACCTGCATCCGGAGATGGTAGTGTATCATCAGCACCACTACCAGGGGTGATACTACGTGATCGATCACCCTCGAGGTCAAAGAGTCTCCTCATCCTCCTCATCTGCAATTTCAATTATTAACATAGTTAAGAAAAAAAATATACATGCTCATGAGATAAGTTATTATGAAATGCATTGTTCTTATTATGATTAGCTAAAAAACTTTAATGCAGTGTAACATATATATTACATACCTACATCCAACGCCACATTCTGTGCGTAAGAGAATTCTTGCCAAACATCATCAGATGAACCAATTGGTTCACTATAATTATATTCACTTTCTTCAATATTTTTTTCATTGTTATTAGGTAGAACAACAGATCTTGGCTCCTTGTACAAAACCACCCAATCAGATATGACATTCGGATCTCTCACGAAGAAGCACTGATCAGCTTGTTCTGCAAAAATGAATTTCTCATCCGTATATACTTCTCGATGGAGATTGACAAGTGTAAATCCATAATGATCCTTTTGCTTTTTTGCAGGACACCACCGAACCTTGAACATCGTGTAAGTACATTGTTTTGGTTTACCAAACCCGTAAATTACTTCAACAATATCTTCTAATTGGCCATAATATAGTATGTCAGCTAGAATTGGGTTCTGATCTCTTGTACTTGAAAAACATTCTTGAGCAAACAAGCCCATGACCCCACTGTTCTGAGTTACCCTCCTATCATCAGTCTCTAGCGTTCGAAATTTATATCCATTGATCAAATGCTCATTATAACGTCTCACTTCATAATAAGGGCGTTGTGCATGTATAATAATTTCATCTGGTAACGTAGTACCATCAAGAAGTGATTTATCAACCTAAGACAAAAAATTTCAGAATATTTAGGGGATGTTATATTATGAATGTTCATAAATTAATTGTTAAATACTTACATCAAATCTTAACCAATCAGAAAATTCTTTCCTATGTCTTTTCTGAATATTATGCGCTGCATTCCTACCGGTTGTTTCATTCTTAAGCTTCTCCAAATGTCGCCTACATAAACAATATATAAGTTTGCATTGCGAACATTATGTAAAATGAATAGTCTCATCTATATTTCGGGTGTTATTTGTTACCTTCGATAGTCTGCGAACATATCAAGGTTTTCCAGCACATATGCATGAATTTGTTCTAAGAGAGATCTCGGATATTTTTCACGCTTTCTCTCCTTATCTGGTACTTGAGCCGTGGTTTTCTTCTGGCGCATGTAACGTGATGCAAAAATAAAGCATTCATTTGCCACGTATCCTTCAGCTATCGAGCCTTCTGGACGAGCTCGATTGCGAACATTATGTTTCATGGAGCCCAAGTATCTTAGAATCAAAATAACTAATTATTAGCACGGTAATTTCAAAAACGCATATACAAGTAATGAATGCAAAAAAAAATATAATTTACCTCTCAATCGGATACATCCAACGATAAGTAACAGGTCCGGCGATTCTAGCCTCTCTTGCAAGATGCTGGGTAAGATGGACCATAACCGTAAAAAAAGAAGGAGGGAATATTACTTCCATATTGCATAGAGTAACTCGGACCTCAGCTTCAAGTTTTTTAAATTCATCTACATCTATGACTTTAGAGCATAATTTTCTGAAAAACCCACAATACTCAATAATAATCTTCGACGCTTCTTTATCCATATTGTTACGGATTGCAACAGGAAGCAATTGATGGAGAAGAACGTGATAATCATGGGTCTTCAGACCTAAGAGTTTTCGCTCTTGCACTTGGACATTATTTGAAATGTTAGCAGAGTAACCATCCGGCGACTTTACCGATTTGAGAATTTCACAAACTCGTTGCATCTGCTCATTTGACATTGTAACACGAGACGGAGGCAACTTTAATTTTTTAAGTCCAACATCTTGAGCTTGCAAATCATTTCGGATATTCAAAGCAGTCAGATCTTGGCGCGCCCGTAGATCATCCTTCGACTTGTTTGCATCTTGTAGGAGAGTTGATACTATGTTATCACATATATTTTTCTCAATATGCATGACATCTAAGTTGTGGCGGATTTTAAGATTTTGCCAGTAAGGTAGCTGAAAGAAGATACTAAATTTAGTCCATCCTCTAGGTAATTTTTGGTCTTCTTCCTCAACTTGCATTTTCCGGACCTTTCGCTTACGCTTCAGTGGCCTTTTTGACTTTAAATAATCTCTTACTCTGAGCGGGCTAAATTTAGAATATCGATTTTTTCCAAACACAACTTTTGGAAACCCCTCAAGTAATTTTACAATCTCATTACCTGTCAGCTGACGCGGCTTCATTCTCTTCTCAACTGTGCCATCAAACATAGCTGATAACTTCCTGTACTTATGACTCAATGGCAACCACCTTCGATTAAACCAATAACAACTCTTTCGGCTATGTGGTAATTGAAGAGCTTCAAATTCCGGACCACATACAGGACAAGCACACTTTCCCTTTGTGGAATACCCAGACAGATTAGCATAGGCTGGAAAATCATTAATCGTCCATAATAGAATAGCACGTAATCTAAACGATTCTTTTAAATGGGCATCATATGTTACAATACCCTCAGACCATAGTTGTTTCAGCTCATCAATTAGAGGCTCTAAGTAAACATCAATATCATTTCCAGGTGCATGTTTACCGGGTATCAGTAATGAAAGTATCATAAATGGCTGTTTCATACAAAGCAATGGAGGTAAATTATATGGCATTAGTACAACTGGCCAAGTAGACCAACCAGAGCTCATTACCCCAAATGGATTGAATCCGTCACTTGACAGACCCATCTTACATTTCTGCAATCTTTGGCAAATCGAGGATAAATTTTATCAACATGCTTCCAAGCTACCGCATCAGCAGGATGTCTCAATTTACCATCATCTACTCGATCTTTCTTGTGCCACCTCATATTTTTCGCTATTTCTTTGTTCATGTACAATCTTCGCAATCTAGGAGCTAATGGAAAATATCGAAGCACCTTGGCTGGAATTTTCTTCTGTGTTATCTCTGTCTCCGTTGTAATCCTTATTGAAGAATTTGTACGTTGTTTCCACCTAGAAACTCCACATGTCGGACATTCTTGAAGGTCTTTATTGGCCTTGTGGTACAAAATACAATCATTCGGACATGCATCAATCTTATTATAATCTAGACCCAGAGCAGCGACAATCTTCTCAGCTTGATAAGTTGTTTGGGGTATGCTATTCACTCCTCCAGGTATTACAGTTCGAAGCAAATCAAGAAGCATTTCAAAATAATTATCTGACATACCGCTAAGTGTCTTAATGTGTAGGAGTTTTAGCATAAATGAAAATCTGGAGTACTCGGTACATCCCTCATATAAGTCCTTTTCACTATCTTCTAGTAGCTTCAATATTCGTTCTATTTCTGCGGAGGAATGCATATCATCAATATTTTCGGCACTTCCATCATCTCCTACTTCTTCAGCTTCAACATCGATATCATCTTCACTTTTATCTCCGATATCATCATCGACATTATCATCACCCTCAAATTCTCTAGGTCGAGTAAAAATATCATTCAACATTGTTTCTGTGTCATCTATTCGTTGTCCACCGGACGTACCGACACGCACATTTGGATCCACATCTTCAGTGATATCTTCCCCATGCCAGTTCCAATATTTATATTTTTCATCAAAACCTGATTTCATTAGGTGGATCCGTATATCATTACTATTCAGCAGTTTCAAATTCCTACACATGCAACAAGGACAATACATAGCACCACTTGCTAATTTTCTCGGATTCATTTCTGCATAACGTATGAAGGCTTCACATCCCTCCTTGTATCGTGTGTCACGAAATCTATGAAGCCGTGGGATATCTATCCATGATTTGTCAGGAATTACCCTCATCTGTAAATTATATATAATTATTAACTACGACAAATCACACAACTACTAGTACATTCATGACTCTTATACATACAAAACAAATCTAACATACGTTCATATATCATTTAACAATATAAATTTAGTTCTACATAAAATATATTTGAAACGTACGTAGAAACTAATTACACCAATTGATCGGCTGTCATAGGAAGGCTTCTATCCATTAAGAATATAGTAGTGCTTACATCCAACTTCATATACTTTGTATATTTTCATTTCTTGAAAATTTCGGCAGCACCTACCCGCTGTTCTCCCTGTACACTGTGCGGATGTTATTATGCGTATCAGCAATAGCCCGAAACGCAGAACAACATACGCTTATTGTACACGGAGAACAACGAATACGTGCTGCCAAAACTTTCAAGAATGAAAATATACAAAGTATACAAAGTTGGATGTATGCACTACTATATTCCTAACCCGTCCGAGAAGGACAGATCCAATAATTACGAATTTCAGTACCAATTTTTTATTCCTATAATATAAAATAAACGCTCATTTTTGGAAGAAAACTTCGTCTCCTACCCAAATCTGAGTCGTATATCATATATTATAAGTCCAAATAATTGGATGTAATTATTGGACGGAAGTCTAGGGATAACGTTATTTTTTTATTCACCTAAATTGGATTATAACACATTATAAAAATTTATAATGTGTTATATATCACTCTATTTTTTACAAAAAATTATTTCACATATTTTCACATCACAAACTTAAATAATCACACATACTTATAGCACGAATGAAACTTAAATGAGTTAGGGTTTATAAGTGTTTAAAACTCAATAATGATAACTAGTGTTGTTCAAATGAATTAACATGTATTTAATTAAGTTAGGATTTTCAGAATTGAACTCGTTTATTTTTCAACATAATTAGGGTTTTTAACCAAATTCAACAATAATTAATAATAAAATTGAAATTTCTAAAGCTCAGTAGAAAAATCATACCTTTTAAACTGATTTCCGCAACGGACACCGCCGAAGGAGGGGGGGTCGGGAGGTTCCGGAGGAGGGGGGGAGGAAGGGCTCTGGGGTGGGGTGTCTGGGAGGGAGGGAGAAGGGGAGGGGCTCACGAGGGGGAGGGGGAGGCGAGAAAAAGGGTGGTCGGTAGACGGGGTGTCGAAGGGGGAAATGGGAGAGATGGAGGAAGGAGGCACCGAGGAGGGAGGAGAAAGGGAAGGGGCGCCAGGTCAGGGGAGAGCGGGGAAAGAGGGTGGTCGAAAGATGGGGTGACCTGTCGGAAAGGGGGGAGTGGGAAGGGGAAAGGGGGGTGGTCGAATGTGGGAGGGGCGGGTGCCAAGGGGAGCGGGGGGGGGCCGTCGAGGTGCTGGATTGATGAAGGAGCGCGGGCGAGGGGGGTCGGGAGGGGGGCGAGATGGTGGGCCAGTCGGGAGGGGGGACGCAAGGGTCGGTGAGGGGAGTGATAATGGGGAAAGTGGGAAATGAAAATGGAATTTGGGGGGGGGGCGGCTGAATAGTGTTTAATTTGCCCCTAGGCAAACCTAGACTAAATCCGTCTAGGTGCCTTAAACCTAAAGAGAACATTCCAAGTCTAGGTTGACTAGTCAACCTAAGACGGAAATTCCGTCTAGGTTGACCTTTAACCTAGACGGAAAGTTCCGTCTAGGTTGAGGCAACCTAGACAGAATTTCCGTCTAGGTTGATATTTCCGTCTAGATTAATAAACTAGACGGAAATTTCCGTCTAGTTTGTGTCAACCTAGACGGAACAAACTAGACGGAATTAATTCCGTCTAGTTTGACCCAAACTAGACGGAAAAAAATTCCGTCTAGTTTGTTCCGTCTAGATTGCTAGTTTTTCTACTAGTGTATTTTGATCAATTGACCCCTCCTAGCTTTTAGCTAGTAGGGGTTTTTGTATAAGGTTTATTTTTCATGAGAACCACCTTATATGCAGGTGAAATTAATACAAATCATCTTTAATAATTTTTTTTCAATACAAACCATCTTATATGTGTGTTATCATCTCAATGTCACACTTCTTGTTAATTTCCGTTTAAAAAATATGAAATTACTATAATACCCCTCAGCCTAACCAAATATAAAAAAGAAGAGCATGAGGAGGAGAGGGTGAGGGAAGTTGATTTGTTGATGGCATGAGAGGAGGAGGAAAGGAGGTTGACAGTGAGAATGGAGAGAGAGAAAGAGGGAAGGAGGAAGTGAGGAAGGTTAGAATGGAGGAGAAGGTGAAAGGAACAAGGAGGTGAGGGGGAGGAAGAAGAGAAGATTAAGAGGAGAATGAAGGAATGACGTGGGGGCGGATGGTGAGGGGAAGAGGGGAGGCAAGGGGAGAGGGAGAGGAGGGAAGGCAGGAGATTGAGAAAGAAAGGGTGTAAAATGGGCATTTTAAAATTATTTTCGACTGAATAGTGGCGATGGTGTGACATTGAGAGGAGAACACATATATAAGGTGGTTTGTATTAAAAAAAAAATACAGGCGATTTGCATAAATTTCACTTATATATACAAGGTGGTCCCATGAAAAACCCATTTCATATATTAGTTCTTTAAATCATCAGTATTTTGATAGTACTTTCCCACATCTTCATATTTTGATATTAGGCCCTCAAATCATCTTAATATTTGATATTATTCATTCCATTAGACCAGTCATTCAAATCTCTTAATTGAACAAAAACGAAAGAGAAATATACGATGGGTTTTTGAGGGGGCTCCGATAATAGTATTAAGGTTTTTCGTTTTTGTGTTATATTTACTCAAAGAGCAAACTACTCTTTATATAGAGGTTGCACCCATCATCTTCACCCCCTCAAAGACCGCCTCACATATCTGAGAGAGATATTCTCTCAATCAACCCACTACTCGTTGTCCTGTCAACAAAGTATCCTCTTGTTGAGCAATTAGCGGTTGAATTGGTCGCAAATTTGAATGGGTCAAATAACATCTCCCACTTGACCAATTAAACCAAGTGATATGTCTCACATTATTTGTGAGATCAAATGTTTCTTCTTAGTATTACTCCCACTATTCGTAGAGAGTAATTCTTATTTTATGATTTATGAAATTTTACTTGGACTTATTTGTTCCTAAGTCTCATCAAACTTACATGTTGAAAATGATTCCACTAGTATTCCTTTTGTTAAAAGATCAGTAATCATATACGTACTAGGGATATAAGTCACTTTAACTTCTCTCTTTTCTATAATATCTCAAATATAGTGATATTGGATCTCAATATATTTTCCTTTGGAACCATTCGTGCCACTATTGATCAAGCTAATCACTGCTTGGTTATCACAATAAATATCAACAACTCATCCTAATAAATTAAGATCTAAATCAATCAAAATTAAATCATCTTATCCAGATAGCATGAGTAGTTGCCATAAAATACAAATTATATATTCAGCTTCTTGTGCGTATCTAGCAACACACCCTTGTTTCTTGCTACTCCAAGAAAAAGCTCATCATTTTTATCACCTTCAAAATCAGCATCGTAGTAACCGAGGAGATGAAGCAAATTGGCTTGATAAACCATCTTTGAGTCAATATACCTCTGATATACTTCATAATCTTTTTAATAGCTTCCTAGTGCTAGTCCCATATTACTTTGATATCGGCTAACCAGACTTACAACATAAACTAAATCAGGTCTAGTGCATAACATTACATATATCAAGCTTCCAATTACTTGAGCATAAGGAACATCTAATGACTTTGTCCCTCTTTAAGGCTTTGCTCTTTACATGATCTCTTTCCCATGACCAACGGAGTTGGTGCCGTATTAGAATTCTCCGTTCCAAACCTTTTAAGAGGTGATCTTAAATATTTTTCGTGATTTAAACTTAACATTCTAAATTTTCTATCTCGAATTATTTGAATTCCAAGAATATATGATGCATTCCCTATGTCTTTCACCTTAAATTTTTCGCTAAGATCTGCCTTAGTTTTATTCAACATTTTCATGTTATTTTCGGGGAATAATATATCATCCACATATAAGGATAATATAATAAATTTGCACCTACTTTTCAAAACATATACATAATTATCTAATTTATTTTGAATAAAATCAAGTTTGGTGGTTGCATCATGAAATTTGAGATGCCACTATTTAAAAGACTGTTTTAAATCACATAGAGATTTTATTAATTTGTAAACTTTATGTTTTTGTCTTTTCACCTAAAAATCTTCAAGTTGTTGCATATATATCACTTCTTTTAACTCTCCGTTAAGGAATATAGTTTTAACATCCATTTAGAATAACTCCAAATTAAGATATGCAATGATATCCAAAATGATTCTAATGGATGTAAATTTAGCTACAAGAGAATACGTCTCCTAAAAATTTATTCCTGCCTTCTGATTATAACCCATGACAAGTATTTCTTTTTAAGCATCCATTTGCATCCTATGACTTTTTTATTTTTCGGTAGATCACATAACTCCCATACCTTATTCTTTTCTATAGAATCAAGTTCTTCTCTCATGATTTCTAGCCATAAAGCCAATTCATGCGATTTCAATGCATAAGAGAAGATTATGGGATCTTGTTCTCCTCTATTTATATCAACCTAGAAAGAATATGACTCATATGAATACAAATAGCAATTGTCCATCCATGAAGGGTGTGTTCTTGGCCTTTTGTTGCCTATAACCGGTTCATGAGGTACATCATTTTCCATAGTCATTTCATATTTTTAAGGTTAGGTTCATTCACAGTATCTGGATCATTAGTGGGAACAACACTATAATAATCATCATTTATTACAGTTAGAGGTTATGTTTCCTCTTAAGCTTGTTCCTCTTCCTCTAGATTCTCTAGAATATAACATCTCTGCTTTCAATGACTTCTTTTTCTTTATTGTAGAACTTATAACCTTTTAACTTTTCTAAATACCCTATGAATCTACACTTTACTCTTTAAAAATCCGACTTATCTCTAAGTTGGTATGGAATGAGAACATGGGTTATAGTTCCCCACTTCCTGAGATGATTCAGATTAGGTTTCCTCCCATTCCATAATTCATAAGATATAGATACAACTGACTTGGTGAGAGAATTCTATTTAAAATATAGTTTACAGTTAACAATGTTTCTCCTAAATTTTTTTGGAGAGACCAAAATGAGATAACATGCATCTACCTACATTTAACAATATTTTGTTTTTTCTTTCAGCAACACCATTCTAATGTGATGTATACAACATTGTATGCTTTTTAATTCCATGCTGAATATAATAACTCTCATATTCTTTAGAGATATATTACCCATGTCTAACAAATCTCAAAATTTTGATTTTCATTCCAAGTTGGTTTTTAACTTCTGTCTTATATATCTTAAAGCATTCAAAAGCTTCTAATTTTCTAGAGATAAGATTGACATGTGCAAACTTAGAATAATCATCTATAAAAATAATAAAATATTTTTTATAACTATGAGTTTTGACACTTAGGGGACTATAACTATCCGAGTGTGTCAACACTAAAAGTTCATTGGCTTTTTGTCCGCCAATGAAGGTCTTTTGGTCATTTTACCGGTTAAACAATATTCATATAGTGGCAATTGAACATTAGATAGTAAATTCTGTAAGTTCATTCTGATAATTTCTTTTATTTTTGAAATTCTAGCACGTTCTAGTCTAGAACGCTACAATTCAGACTCAGAAATATAACAGAACATGTAGTTCAAATTGAAAATTTAATCATCTGAATTATTACAAACTACTGGAAGAATGCATAATTCATACTTGGGTACATATTATTCCATAGCATACACTTTATTATTTTTACCTATAGAAACCCTGTTATTTGTAGAATCTAACTTCCAGTCATTTCTTTATCAAGCTGGGAACAGAGATCAGATTGCACTAAATTTCTGACGCATAGAACACATCCTTAAGGACAAGAACATTGTCCCTAAGATCAAATTTATATGAACCAATACATTCTATATTGAGATACGTATTATTTCCCATATAGATCCTTTGCTCTTCTTTCTTCAGCTCGGTGAATTTTGTGACTCCATTCTTGTCCTTTCCGATATGTCTAGTCGCATCGGAGTCGATCCATCAACCGCTGATGTCCGTCATCACAACATTGCACTCCGTCACATCAATGAATTCTCTCTTGTTGGTACTTCCTAGCTTATAGCCTCCCTTCTTCTCATGCTTTTCTCCTTGTGGACAATTAGATCTGAAATGCCCAAAGTTTCCACAAGTATAGCAAGATCCGCGGGATACCTTTTTCTTAAATTGCTGTGATTTTGGACATCTAAATTATAGTTTATTAGAGCCAGTGTTTTTATTTCTTCCAATTTGTTGCTTCTGGTGCACATAGTTGTACCCTTATACATATCCAAAATTAAACTGGGCCAGTACTGGTTTTTCCTAATCTAGCCAGAATTATTCCAATTAGGAGTTGGTTCAAAACAAAACTAGGTTTAAGCTCCAAAAATTAAACTAGACGAAACTGGTTTAGTTCTAGTCTAACTTTTGCCAAACTACAAATTTATCCTTGCGCCAAATTTATACCCCCTAAAACTGGTTGGTGTTGTTACCAAACATAGGCTAACATCAACATATTAAAGATGATTTTTGGGGACTAATATCAAAATATGAAGATTTAGGGGACTAGTATCAAAATACTAATCATGTAAGGCACCAAGATGTAAAATCCCCTAGTTAGTAGCTGTTAACTTCGGGGGTATACATACAAATTTGAGGGGTAAATCCCGCTTCCTCTTCAAAGCTCCCAACGCCCACCAATGATCTCTAAATCCCCATTAATGCCCCTTTCTCCTCCTCAGATCCATTACAAACCCCCTAGAAGCTCTCCCAATCTCAACCTCTCTGATCATTCCCCTCCTCCATGGCCAGCTACAGGC